GAAGTTACAATAATCCCATCTCATTCCAATCCATTCCCGCTCGTTCGCCATTCGCATTGGTCACTCCCCTCTCTGAGTTTCCCCATCCCCACATATCTCAATAAATCCCAGTCCCCTCCCCCAAATTTCCGCATAGAAATCCCTTTCCATCTCCCAAACCAGAATTCCCCAGTTCTAGTCCCAAAAATCCCACGCCGAAGGAAAGGAAAAATGACCGACGTCACGAATCAAAGGGTTCACATCGTAGGGTAAATAGGAGAAAAGGTCACTGGTTGTTCCTCCACGAGCCCAAGCCCTGGTATTCATCGTTATGTTTATCATTAGCGAACGGCAACTCCGCACTTTCTCCCCAACTCCCCTCCCCTGCTTTCTCACCCCCGGGCCTCTACACGGGGTACAACATTCCGTCCCCATATTTCCATCCGCCAACGGCAAAACTGGTTGACGTTGGGCACATGTACAGGGCAATAGGGATGGTGATCAAATAAGGGTGAAAAAAGGGGGAAACGGGGAGAGAAAGTTTTATAAATGAAAGTCGCCTCTATCAACCCGGGGTCCTTCTTGTCTTAATCGCTACTGCTACACCCGCGACACCCACAGCTAACACACTGGATGATTTGGTCCTCTTTAAGCTGGGCTTTGGGTACGCGACAAATGCAGGTGGCGTTGAAGTTTGTTTCTTTGGTTTGGATGCAGCGAAGGCAGCAGAGCTGGATGCGTGGGTGGGTGGGTTAGCTTGTGCAGTTCCATTTTGTGAGGAATGGGAATGAGAGAAGGACGATGGGTGAAGGTGAAGTATGTATAGGGGTAGTACATGCCTTTTCGTAACCCTGTTTCTTCCACTTGGCAATGAGGAGGGCGTCTGCGTAGTTATTTTTCAACAGCCAGTCATACAGCTGCTTGGATATGGCTTCCTTTTCGTAGTAGAGGTCGTAGATGTAACGAGATCCTGAGATGAGAGATCATATTCATTAGCTTTTTGTTTCTTGCAATATTTTTACAGTTTTCTAACATTTGCTGCCCGTATACGCGTGTTCATATTTATGATAGTTGTTATACTGGGTTTAAGGAGGTTAAACATACGTGCATGACTGATCTGAAATATCGGCCAGTGGACCTCGTGTCTCTTCTTGCCCTCGTGCGAGGCATTTTCTGCATCTTTCATTTTGTTGCTGAACTCGAGAAGGGTGTCTTCGATGTCAGCGAAGCCGTCTGGAGGTGGTTTGCGGTTCCGTGAGGCGCGGATGGGAGGCATGGTGGGTGGCGGAGCTTCGTCGTGGGAGGCGGACGAATTCAGAAAGTTGATAAGCTCCTTTTCCTAATGGGAGCCTCCTGTTGCTGGTGAAATGAGCGGATACGGAGGAGGTTGATCGATCTGTGTTGCCAGTTATTTACTTCTTCCAAAGCGTAAAGGCCGCCGGACGAGACGAGGTAAAATATTTGGATCTTTTTGCCACTTCTCACCGTCTATGGCACTTGTCGCTGCAACCTCCGTAAAACAAAGAATCCAAGCAGCTTCAGCAGTTTCGGATATTTTATCAACGGAGTATACGACCACTATTATTTCCAGTCTTCCCAACCCAAGCTAGTTTCCAAAATTTACTATAGCCGTTCCCTTAAATCGATCTACCCATTGCGATTCTGGAAAGAAAAGAAATATCAATATACATACATACATACAATGGATTCCCAAATCGATGTCTCTAAACTCAACGAAGCGGACCGGAGGGAGGTGCAGCAATTCGTCGCGAACGAGGCGCAAAAGGCTACTATCCAGTCAAGTAATGCCTAATTTCCTTGCATCCATTTTTGCCCTCACTCCTTCATCCACACGCATATATTTCCACGGCCAGATATAAACAATAAACATATCCTAACTCCATTTCTTTTGAACAGACGTCCACCAACTGGCTGATATGTGCTGGAAGAAATGTATCACAGGCAGAGTGTCCGGAGGAACCCTTGACCGTAGCGAGGAGTCATGTGCTCAGAACTGCGTTGATCGATGGATTGACACCAGCAATGCCGTGCTGAAGCATCTGGAGACGTTGAGGGGCAGCCATTAGGAGAGGTCATTGTGTGTATGGACTTTGTTGGTCTATTGTGGTTTCCTCGGGTGGAAATGCGTCCGGACTTTTGATGGATGGACTATATATGCTGGATTGTACGACTGCGAGGGCGGAAGGCTGAGGAGGCGGGAGAAGAATGGAAGCTGGAGGGGGGAGGACAGGCCTTGGGAAGTCGACGGGCGAAGGTATTTTTTTTCCTTTTCCTTTTCCTTCCTTTCTTTCTTTTCTTTCTTGCATTGTACGATGCTGAATATGCATGTGGGATCTGCCTGGTCTACTTTCTTAAACATGTTAAAAGTTTAGCTGGTTATGGATAGTGTTTATATTTAAATGTTGATACAGATAAATAACCATTCATTGAATATTCCACTCTATTGATCCAATCGGGCGACAGACGAGTTCTACATGTAGTCGTTTCTATTCGAGAGGAACTCCTTATATGATTATAAAACAGAACAGAAAACATGGGGTTTTATTCACGTCTCAAGTGACCGTAGCATTTCAATATAACTAAAACAGCCATTGAGTAATTTTTAATAAATTAAAAGGAAATTTCAACAGACAAACATCCATGAACTCAGAGAAAAAGAGGAAAATAACCCGCTTTAAACAATCGCCAACTTCGTCGCCGCAATATCAAGAGCATCGACATCTGGGGTTAATCTCGCAAACGCTTTTTTCGAACCGTCAGGTCTACACAAAAATGAACCAATTAGAAACTCAGAAAGCCCACCGCAAATCAGAGGAAATCCTCCTTCGTCTTGAGCGTCGAACAACATACCTGATGAGGGTGTTAATCTTGACGGTATCGACATCATAAAGCGTCTTGAGCGCCTGCTTAATTTGTCTCTTGTTGGCCTTCACATCGACGATGAATACCAGGGTGTTGTTCTCCTCAATCTTCTTCATGGCGCTCTCAGTGTTCAAGGGATGGATGATGATCTTGTGTTGGTCGAGGCGGGTTTCATGAGGAATTGACTTGCGGGGGTATTTGGGCGACCGCGAGAGCTGGAGGGTCTTTGGTCGATGGAAGGTGGTTGATGTCCGGATCTTGCGAACTTTGTGCGCGTGAACCTGTTGCATACCCAGTCTCAGTACATGTCGTGTTGCCTTTTCGTCGTGATATTGTCCCAATTGGCTCGTATATCCCGGCATCGTGGCAAAAAAAAGAGAAGGGATTATTTTTCAACGTACACCCTTAAGCACCGCCTTCGCAGCAGCACCAGCTTTGGCGCTGGGCTTTGCGGCTATAGTTTTCGACAAGAACCGTCAGCATATCTCGTTGACCAGAAATGAAATTGATTCCAACATATCCCCGAGGTTCATTATCTCCCTCTTTCCCCTCTTTCTTCCGACTGTCGAAAGAAGCTCTCATTGACATAGATCGTGTGTGTATTTGCTTGCTCCCCGCAACCCTCCATTCCCCTTCCTTAACGCAGGCTCAAAAAGTCCACACAAACAAAAGCAACACGGGTGACATATCCTCACCTTTCTTAGTATCCGACTTGGGTCCCATAGCTGTCGATTGGCTGCGTTGGCTGGTGGTTATCGTTGTCGTCGTGGGTGGGTTCGATCTTCTGCTCTCTTGGGTTTGTCGAACTCTCGCTAAGTTTGAAAACCCGAGATTGTGTGCGTCACGTGATGGGTCTGTTCGCAGTGGGCGCCATTCCCAAAACAGACACCGTCTCAATCTATCCCCAAACCCATCTCAATAACTGTTGCGATGTATCTCCATTGTACACAAGTTTGGAACAGGCGAAAGAGTTCATTGCTAGTCAGAGACTAGTGCAATTACCTACACCATGTCTCGTCTGTAGCAATGCCGAAGGACCCAGATCCTTAAATCTGATGTCCCAACGTACCGCAATTCTTTTGCTTCCCGGAATACCATGACAATATGACAATAAACTCCCCCCGTCGCAAAACTAAAACCAAAACCAAAAGGAGAACCCCCGGTTCATTTTCTCATGGCCGCCCACCAACCGCCAGTAGCAAACCCGCTGCCTCCCTCTCTGCCAAGGCCACGCGAACCCTAATCCGCTCCCACCACCAGTTGCATAAAGCCCGCGCCCGCGCCCTCGCAGAGAATAACGAGGCTCTTGTCCAGGACCTGGACAGGCAAATTGCTTCCCTTGGTGGACTCGAGAGCTATCAGCTGGCTAGCAAGAAGGGCCAGTCAAAGGAGCGCGGTGGGGATTCGAGTAAAGTACTTGTGGAGTGGTTAACCCCCGTGTTGCGGACGCTGAAGAAGAGTGGTGACTCGAAAGATAGGTGGAGTAAGTTACGGCTACTCGAAGTAGGCGCGCTGAGTACTGTGAACGCCTGCTCGTGCGTTGGGACGCTAGATGTGACACGGATCGATCTGCATTCGCGGGAGAAGGGGATCCTGCAGCAAGATTTCATGCAACGACCGTTGCCCGTCTGCGAAAACGAGAAGTTTCATATCATTAGCCTATCGCTTGTGTTGAACTATGTCTCAGATCCAGCAGGGAGGGGGGAGATGCTTAAGCGGACTACGACGTTTTTGGCGCCGTTTATGGGAATTGGTAAAGGGATTGCAGCTGGAGATGCATCGTCGGTATCCGGGGGAGAGACTGCGGGTGAGATGCTATTTCATAATAGCTCCTTTGCGCCTTGCCTATTCCTTGTCTTGCCGGCGGCATGTGTGCTGAATTCACGCTACTTTACTGAAGAGCGCCTGCTGGCTATCATGTCAAGCCTGGGATATCAGATGACGCAAAGGAAGTTGACGTCAAAGCTTATATTTTATCTTTGGGAATATAGTCCCCGAGATGAAGAAGGGATGAAAGACGAAGTTATGGTGTTCAGGAAAGAAATGCTTAACCCAGGTCGGAACAGGAATAATTTTACTGTTACGCTCTGCTAATAAACATTGACGATTGTGAGAGGGTGATGAATTAAGAATTCAAGGTCTATGTGCTGCCGATGGAGTGAGAACATGGAGAAGAAACTCTAGCGGCTTCTTGGAAACACTTAAGAAACAAGATTTGACCTCCATTACTTAATCTTTTATGGGGTCTATCTTATATTATCATACCCTTCCACAGCCCGTCTCGGCCGCTGTTCAAATAAAAGAGCGTTAAAAGTGATCAATACATTAAAGATAAAAACACACCTCGCAGCTGACGCCCAAATTAATAACTCTCCTCAACCCATTTGTCCATCATACACATCTCATTGACCATCCCAATGAGCCACAAGCTCCGTAAAACAGGAGAGTGCGCTCTCATTGCTGCCACTACTCCCCAACCTCACCAGCCCTGCCCTCTCTCTTATCCATCCCGTAGCATTCACACATACTCCACTACCGTACACGTACGTCCACTGACCCTTGTCATTTCAACCCAATATTCTCCTTAGGAATAAATGCCCACGCCGTGCCCACAACCGCCATAATAGAACAAACAATCAACAACAACCAATCCACAACCCGCTCCTGAAAACTAATCCTGGATCCAAAAATCTTCATATAAAAAGCAATAGGAAGGATGATGCAGATGGTGATACACAGGCTTGCACCGATAAGGGCCATGATGCGGTCGAAGTACGGAAAGACAATGGCGATGTAGGTGATGAGGACGATTGTGGCGATGCGGGCTGTGACTTGGACAGTGGTGCGGATAAGGTGGGTTGGCTCCTTTCTCGCATTCCTCGCTTTCTTCTGAGGGTGTTGGCTGCGGGAGGGGGTATTGTGGAGGCCGCAGAGTGATTCGACTGTGCTGACCAGTGGACGGCAGCTGGAATGGAAAAGGTCAGTTAGATCGCGTTAGTCGGGGTTGGAAAGGAGCGCGGGGGGGGGGGGGGGGGGGGGGGCATTTTTAGTATATATATAGTTTACCTGAGGGGTATCTTCGTCAATGGAATGATGGCGATGAATACGACAATGCAAATTGACAACCAGTTAGGGTATCGGCTGTGAGGATGTTATGTGAACTTTAGTCGGTAACATCGGGACCAAACATGAGCCAACCGGCTGTCGCCATGGCCAGGTCCAGGAAAAGCTAATAGAGGGTATGGTTTAGCGTATTCTGGAAAATTGAGAGCTGATTTAAGGGTTCAAATGCATGGCTACTACTCACTGTGAAGATGTAAGTTATCCAAAGGCTCTCTCCGTACTTGCGGGGATGTCTCATGTCTTTATAGATGTTTGGGAAGACGCTGTGGCCGCCCCAGGGACCTGGCAGTAAAGGACTCATGTTTAGCGTAACAATGTTAAAGACAGCGTAATCGAAGTGGCTAGACTCACACATAATCAGTCCAAAGGAAAGCGGGACGGCACCCCAGTTCCCAGGGAGGAGGGATGTCGGGGCAGGATCACGGAGGGAGCCTGGAGAGTCCGGCTTGATAATACCATCGACGAAAATAATCAGAACAACTGTTTACGAACTGTTAGCCACATTGTTGTTATTTCGAGATGGGTATTCCTTAACTTACTAGAAGTACAGCAAAAAATGCCCAAAATGCTCGACAGGCTCAGAAGTCGCAGGGGCACGAAGTTCAGCGGGATTAAAATCGCGCCGCATATCAGTTTCCAACGAAGGGCCCCTAGTCCCGGAATCAAAGCGTCAATGCTATCTGCAAAGAGCACAACCAAAGCCACACATGCACCCATCAGTTCCAAGGAGAAGAGCAGGCTGGTGATGATACGAGCCTGGGGCCCAAAGCTGATATATGCCAGATCAGCATAGGTGACGAGGGTAGGATCTACATCCATGCACTTTGCGAGGATTTTGGCCGTATATGCAGTAGCCACTGCCGAGAAGAGAAGCAGAGGAATCCCGATGGCCCATCCGGCATATTTGAGGCCGAGGGGTAAGCTAAGCAGGCCTATTCCGATCAGGACATTGACGGAGTTGAGTATGGTCTGGGCAACGGTGGATTGGCCGACAATAATGGTTTCTTTGGAGCCATCTCGGTGCTGGATGCGCTTGACGACGAGGGGTTCCCGATCAGCGTCAGCGTCTATGATGTCGGTATTGGTTTCGATAAAGTGGTGCTCTCTGTGCAGTTGGGCGGCGTGTAGTCGGGTCGACTCGCTGATTCTAGTCGAACTTGCTGTTCCATACGATGCGTCGTAGCTTCTTCCCAGGAGTGGTGTTGTGCGCACAGATGCGTCAAATCCACCGTCCAGGTGAGGTCGCCTGTGCTCCGTTCCCTCTCTAGTTCCGTAATTATGAGAGTTTGCAACATCGTCATCATCGCAGAGTGATTCTGGCACGTGCTCTCCTGAAGCAGAGGGCCGACCCAAAAGAGGTCTGGTTTCATCTACGGGCAAATCACGGCCACGTTCCTCGTCATCAGGCAAGGCCAAGAAGAACGATGGTCGACGGGGAGTAACCTCCGGGAATTGGGCCGCTCTCTGCCATGACCGGGCGAAGTTGTCCAAGCTATTAAGAGGTCCAGCGACCGATTGCCTCCTTGAGGATATGTCAGACGGCCTACAACTCATGTCAGCAATGTTGCCTGTAAACCTGGGACAACGCGAACGGATACCATCAAGAGCAAAAACGAAATGAACGTACCACCGTCTTCGTAAATCATTATCGTCAGCTCCATGGTGGGGGAGGTGGTGTTCATGTTGTGTGATGTTCAGAGGATTCGAGGATGCGGAGGGTGATGATGGTCGGGAGCCTGAGGGCGAGGCATCTCTAGAGCCCCGGAATTTCATGGTTGAGCTGGGCTGTCCTCTCTCTACCGCTCCAGATAGCCTTTCTGACGTATCCACAGCACTTCGGAAGGGAATTTTGGATAGGATATGGAAACGAACGAACGTATCGGTTTAAAATGGAATGCGACGCCTCGTTCCAAGGACAAAGCCTCCCAGAGAAACGCAGAAGGGGTATTTAGAAAGCAAGAGAGAAAAGAAACATCCCCAAACACAAGAAGACCCCTGACTGACAGATATGGGTATATCTAAACAAAAGAATCACAAACTATTTCTCGACGTGGTGGTGGAGCTATATTAAGGCCGCCAACCCCAGTAGTCACCACTCAAACCCGTCTATCAAGCGAACTCCACAGGTGGCGATAACCCATGCAATATATATATATATATATATATTGTGGGATGAATAGACTAGAAGAATAGGGCTGGTGTCGGCTAAAGGTGGAGATAATTAGGGTTGTTGAACATGTCTGTATATCTTGCTGAGGATTTGGATTCAAGGGGATTTCGGAGTAGAGATCCGCATCTGCATCCGCAGCTGGCTGCCCCCGTCGAAAGAGCGGCGGTCGGGGCAATTTAAGATTCTGGAGCGCCCGTATATCCATCCGTCCCTGCGAACAAGGACCATGGTTCCAGGGCAGACCGTGGGGAGGGAGGGAATTGCTTAATATGTCACATGGCTCCCTTCAACAAACTGCGCAGGGAATCCAAACCCGGTTCTCAGGAACCTGGTGAATTGATTGTGTCAGACCCAGGGTTTCCCGTTGCCCTGTTCGAGCTGGCTGCAAGTTCTGGCAATCGGGCACGGAGTAACTAGTTATCTGATTTAGATCCACAAGTTAGTAGTTACAATGAACCGTTCTGCCAAAACTACGGTGTTGGTTGACAGATTGACCCGTGCACAAGTTACTGATCCAAGTTTGACTGCGGCTGCACAGACACATACAATCTAATCTGCAAAAGACTCAACCCGCCGATTCCCTCTAATAACTAAATACAGGATGCTCCGTAGTCCTCCGAATATTCCATGGAGTTCCCCCCAAGCACAGGGGGGAAAGTAAAGACACTGCAAGAAATGAAGAAAATGCAAAGAAGAGGAAGAGAAACAACAGAAAGGGAGCGAGTCGCCACAACGATGCACTTCAACCAGTTCTTATGTAAACCGTCTAAGCCACCATCCAACAAGAATTCCCTGTCTTGAACCACTCCAAGTCTCCAAGATGCGTATGTGTATATCTCATATATCTACTCAAGCTTCTCAACAACACAAGCAGTTCCATATGCACACACCTGCAAAAACCCACCCAGATCACTCGTATCAAACCGGAGCGCGATAATCGCATTGCCGCCCTTGTGAAGGCACTCACCCACCATGCGACCAACCGATTCGTTGCGCGCCCGGTACAGCATCGTTGTGAACATGGGTAGCTCGCCGCCAGCAATGGATTTCAACACCATGCCCATGCTCGCGGCCCAGTTGCGCGATTGCACCGTCAAGCCATACACGGCGCCCAGGACGTGGACTACGCGATATCCCGGGAGGTCGTTCATGGTTGTTGTGATGACGCCGTCGCTGTCGGTGAAGGAGGAGACGTCGAGGCCATGTAGGCAGGTCTGAGCTGCTGAGGCTGCGGCTGCGGCTGGGGTGTCTGGTGTCATGGCTATGGTGACTGGTGGGGGTATAGTTTGGTATTTGATTTTGATGCCCGTGTGCCTGCAGGGAAGAGGCATAGATGTATGTCGATATGTAGGTATATGCAGCTCCGCTATCGATCAGGCGGCCAACGAGGGTTTGGAGTCGCGAGAGATGGTTTTCATGGACTTCTTGCTGTGATAGCGATTTTCTTCAGGCAATAGAGTCTACAAAGTTCCGTGGAAACCGTGAAGCTATATATACACCAACGTCTGTTCCTCCAGAGACGCGGACAGGCTTACCGTAGGGTTGAGAAACCTAACTCGGTTCAGGAAACAATTCGTATTCCTCCTCACGAGAGCTAGTAAATATGTTGTTAGTTTCTGCTCCACCCGGAGAACATATCTCCGTGGATAAATATGCTAACGAATATGCCTTGCTGCTGCTGGTCTCTCTGTCTGCACTGTACTTTCAATCTTGGACCCGATCGCATTCAATTGATGGATGGCAATCAGGAGACTATGTATACTGAGGAGAGCGGGGGGGGGGGGGGGGGGGGGGTTCTTCACATCGAATCATATCAGCCAGACAACTGATCGATCCGAAGCAGATTTTGCCAAGAAATTTGAGAACAAGGAGTAGTGATCTGAAATGACGGACTGTCAAGAGGAGCAAAGCAGTCAAAGTCAGCAGTCAAAGTCAGCTGTGTTGTTGATATCGATACCAGCGATTCAGGCTGGTCCTCAACGCGAGGATGATGATGATGATGATGATGATTAGTTAACCGGTGCTGCCTCCCCTTCAACACACACGCCATTTAATAACAACTAGACCCAATAAATTGCCCCGCGCCCTTTTCACCTGGATGTGCTCCGTAGTAATAGTATTATTAGAAAAGAAAAGAACGAAATGCGAGTCCGCTGTGGCGCATCCAGTCGTGGAATGGACACTGAACATCCTGCTTATGTCATCGCTCCTTCAGCCCACCTCGACAACCCCCCACACAATAACAACCCGTCCGCTGAGAAAATTGTTCCCACCTCTCTATCTCCTCAGTCTGAGGCAAGGTGACCGGCTCCAAGGTGAGTCCTTTCTCACCCCTATACAAGTATATATTTTCACGTCTGCATCTATCTGCCGTTGGAATTGTGGCTTATATCGTCGAAATTCTAGTTTGATACTTAGATCACCCCAAACCGCCCCCCCTCCGGTCGCACATCCACCGTCGCCCACCATGAGCGCGGTTCAGGCGAACGATGCGGAGAAGAACATCGAGATATGGAAGGTGAAAAAACTGATTAAACGTCTCGAGGCTGCTCGTGGGAACGGGACGTCCATGATTTCCCTGATTATCCGTGAGTTGCAGATCTTGCCTCTTGTCTATTTTTTTTTTCTTTCTTTCCATCCCCTTCCCACGGACAAGAAGTCCCTCCTAAGACTGACTCAATGTTTCTGCCTTGCAGCGCCCAAGGATCAGGTCTCACGGGCAGCCAAGATGTTGGCTGAAGAATTCGTATGCTGCCAGTTCCATTCCCCAGGAGTTGGATGGAAAAGGTAAATACTTACGGTAACATCGTTCATATAGGGTACGGCATCCAATATCAAGTCGCGTGTCAACCGTCTCTCCGTCCTGTCCGCTATCACCTCCACCCAACAGCGCCTCAAGCTCTACACAAAAGTCCCCCCAAATGGACTTGTCATTTACTGTGGTGAAATCATCACGTCCGAGGGAAAGGAACGCAAGATTAACATCGACTTCGAACCGTTCAAGCCCATCAATACCTCCCTCTACCTTTGTGACAACAAGTTCCACACCGAGGCCCTAAGCGAACTACTCGAGTCAGACCAGAAATTCGGGTTCATCATCATGGACGGCAATGGCGCCCTTTTTGGAACCCTCAGCGGAAACACAAGGGACGTCGTCCATAAATTCTCCGTCGATTTGCCCAAGAAGCACGGTCGTGGTGGTCAGTCTGCCTTGCGTTTTGCGCGTCTTCGAGAAGAAAAGCGCCACAACTACGTCCGTAAAGTTGCCGAGCTTGCTGTGCAGAATTTCATCACCAATGACAAAGTCAACGTTGCCGGCATCATCCTTGCTGGATCTGCGGATTTCAAAAATGACCTTAACCAGTCCGACATGTTTGATAACCGCCTTCAATCCAAGGTTATCAAGGTCGTCGATGTTTCTTATGGTGGTGAGAATGGCTTCAACCAAGCTATTGAGCTTGCCTCAGAGACTCTCGGAAATGTCAAGTTTATCCAAGAGAAGAAACTCATCGGCAAATACTTCGAGGAGATCAGCCAGGACAGCGGCAGGGTCTGTTACGGTGTGGAAGACACCCTCAAGGCCTTGGAGCTGGGTGCTGCAGAGACATTGATCGTTTTCGAAAATCTGGACATCACCCGGTGGGTTCTCAAAGCATCCACTGGCGAACAGGTTATTCTGCACACCACCAAGGCCCAGGAAGCCAGCCGGGAATTGTTCATGGATAAGGAAACAGGCCAGGAGATGGAAATTGTCGAGCAAGCCTCCTTCCTCGAGTGGCTAGCCGAGCACTACAAAGATTTCGGTGCAACGCTGGAGTTTGTTTCCGATCGATCCAGCGAAGGAAACCAGTTCGTCAAGGGCTTTGGCGGCATTGGAGCTGTTCTCCGCTACAAAGTTAACTTCGAGCAACTTGCTGATTATGAATCCGAGGACGAATTTTACGACGGTACGCATTTTTTTCGTTTTTTCTTTTTTTCGTTTCCTTTTTTATTTATGATTTTTCTCGAGAAATTAAACTAATTTATATTCGCTCCGTGTCTCAACAGATTGACGGTTTGGTGACCTCGCGGAGAGCGAGGATAACTGCCCAGAAATTCCTTCAACGGATGTTCTGACGGCTCGTCCCTTGAGTTCAGCTAAGAATGCCATTCAAGGAGGCTACCAGGTAGCCGTCATGCGGGCCTTAGGTCCGTCTGCTCAATGCAACACGAAGCTTCTCAGAGGTATGTCGTCAATGCTAAAGCCACTTTCTCCCTCTCATTCCCCTTTCTCTGCTCTTTGAACGTCCAATTAAATCTAATCAATCATTCTAGGGCCATCCAAGCTCCGAAATGTAGCTATGAGTAACTAAACAGTCTGCAAAATAAACAATAGAGGAGGCCGTTTGTTATCAAAACCCGCTGGATTACCGAGCGAAAAAATGGCCCGAGGGAGGCGTGTAGTCCTTTTTTTTTTTTTTTTTTTTTCCCTTTTTTCTTCTTCTTTCAATCATCCAATGCTGTAATCGATACTTCATCTCCATTCACAGCAAATTATGTGCCAATGGCCAGAGTGACTACCGGCCGGGCTAGTTCACTGGGAGGGAATGGAGGTTTCCAGATATTTATCGGTTCTAAATTGTCTCTTATCTTTACGTCTGTCTTCCCGCAGTTTATTATGCATTATTATAGTTGTTTGTCCCTTCTTCATGCTTAAACCTTCATTCGCTGAACACCAATCGCTCTCTCTGGTAGGCATGTACTGGTGATTGATACCTCTCTGAAAAATATATCAAGGAGCAGCAAAAACCCCTCCAAAATCCAGTCATTCAAACTCCTCGGAGGTAAATTTTTGTTCCATTTATGTGATGCAAGTTTTTTTTCTCGCTCTGTTTAGTTTCCTTCCCATGTTTGATGGATTGGGGACCCATTCAGCATCTGGGATTACAGTCGCATCCAGGGTGCTGTCGGTTCTGGTCAAAATACAACAAAAAGAGGAACCCCAACTATAGCTATATGCAATCATTCATTCAGTTTCACCCATTCACGATTAAACTACTTGCAGTAGTCTATCTTGGCTGGGTATATCACTCATTCTCATTCTCGTTCTATTCCTCCCTCCCCTTTGCCGATTTCCTCTTCTCCCTTCCCGTCCCCTAACCGATCCCCCCAACTCCCCAAGTCCCTGCAACAGCTCGTCTTCCCATCCAACTCCCGCATAGTCCTCTCCACCACATCCTCCTCGTGCACGCCGCGAATCCTTTCACACTCAACGAAGAAAATATACTGCCACGGCCGAATCTGGCCAGGTCGAGGCATGATGCTGGTTAAATTGAGTCCGTAGCGGCGGAAGATTGTCAGCGCATCAACGAGGGCGCCGGGGATTTCATGCGCGATCATAAAGGAGATGAGGGTTTTTAGCTTTGGTGGTGTTGCGGTGCTTGCGCTGCTTGGCGTTGGTGGATAAAAATCCGCTTCTCCGCTCCTCGTGCACTCACTATTAATATTCCGCAGAATGAGGAAGCGTGTCGTGTTGCCTGCGCGGTCTTCGATGTTTGTGGCGAGGATGGATAGGTTGTGGTATGTGGCGGCGAAGGAACTGGCGATTGCGGCTTGTATGCCTTCGCCGCTACCGTTAACGTCACGTAGCGCACAGCCGGTATTTGCGACGATGCTTGCGGCTTTGGAGGTGGAGGGGGCATCTTGTCGCTCAACGCCGTGAAAGTGTTTGGAGAGGAAGCACTCGCATTGGCCCCAGGCTTGCGGGTGGGTGTAGAGTTTTGAAATGCGGGGGTAAATTCTTTCGGGGTGGGAGGCGTCTTTTTTGTTTTGGGAGATATTTTAGTTTTTAGTAATACAAAATGAATATTCTTAGATTCCTCGTCGCACATCGACGGGGCGTGATATAAATGCTGTATAGACATGGACGTACCTGAAGTAGCATCCTCCTTGCGGACAAGCAGACAATGGTGGACAGTTAGATAATACTCCCCGCACACGACGACGTCATTGTAGCGGCCATCGCGGTCGGCGAGGAGGTCTAGAGTCTGTACGACAGAGCCATTTGTGGAGTTCTCGAAAGGAATAACTGCGTAGTCAGCTTCGTTGGATTGGATTGCAGCAAATGCGTCTGCGAAGGAGGGTTTTGGGAGGAGGGTTGTAGCGGTTGTTGAGTTGGCGGACTGAGAGGGGGACGAAGCGGTGGGGAAGAGGTTTAGGACTGCCTGCTATTGATATTAATTTAAATTTTTTTTGAGGCGTCCTACGGAAGTTGGTATTGTAATTGGGATTGCATATATAAAAACTGCATCTTTATATCTGACCTGGTGGGAGAATGAAGCCAGCGGACCGAGAAACGTCACCCGCAGGCTTTTGGAGGGAGATAACATAGTGCGGGATGGTGCAGATACCCCGCGCAATTAAAACTCTGTATATATGATTTTCTCTTCGAGGGAATAAGAATTGAGTATTATTAAGAACTGAAAAGAACCCCTTTCTAGAGATCGCCAGAAGTTGCGATAGTTTAAATATTTTTCTTTGAAGATTGAATCAAGCCCGACCGCCGGAGAGATTGAAAATGTTCCCCGCAAATATATCACACGGCAAGAATTGTTTATTTATTGTATATGGCGTGGATTTATAACGAACTCACAACAACAACAACATCATCATCATCATCATCAAAAATTTGAGAAGATCGAAGACTAGAACAATAACCAGCAAGCAGTAACTATTTAGTCTTGCTGGAATGACCAATTTGCGTTGACAAAGCACCCGCAATGTCGGTTAGCATTTTTAAACATGCCCACCAGCATCTGTATACATCACAGCGTAGTCTCTCATCTCTCCCGTCCTTCTCCGTTCTGCGCAATGAACTAACCCAACGCCGCCTCCCGCTGTTCTACGACTATCTCAGCCCGCAACAATCGCATCTCCTCAACCTCTCCCTCGACGATTTCATCCCTACCTCAGGATCTACCTCCGCCAACAACGGCAATGCCACCGCCCTCCCTTCATCGGTTCTTGACCCCCGCCCTCTGCCCGCTGGTCACCATCTAGTCTACTTCCCGCCACATGTACCTTCATCACAACTGCTGCCAGATGGGACAGACACATTACATTACCCGGGCCCGCCCTTTAACCGGCGTATGTGGGCTGGGGGCTGGGTGAGATTTTATAACGACGGAAATGATGAGCCGTTGCTCCTTAACGGGCAGCGGGCAGTGTGCATAGAGGGGATCAGAGACGTGTCTGTGAAGGGCAAAGATGGGGAAGAGAAGGTATTTGTTGCGGTTGAGAGAAGAGTTGCGGTTGTGCGGGAAGGGGAAGAGGAAGAGGAGATTCGAGGGCGGGTGTGGACGGTTGGTGAGGAGGAAAAGGGGGATGCAGTGGTGGTTGAGAGGAGGAATCTGGTGTTTATGAGGGATAGGGAGGGTGGGGTTGAGAAGGTTAAGAGGAGAGCTGTTAAGGGTATGTGTGATTCTAAGTTGTATCTTTCATATTTATATATATATATATATATGCGATTGGGACGTAATAACTAACTACCCCGCGAACTTACGTCTCCTGATGTTGCGATTTTTACTGACAGCATTTTCACCACAAAAACAGCCCCATTAAACCCGGATTTCAGCCATGCTCTAATCCCATCGCGGTCACTGCTATTCCGCTTTTCAGCACTGACATTCAACGCGCACTCCATCCACCTAGACAGAGGCTATGCGCAGAACATCGAGGGATATCAAGACGTGCTGGTTCACGGCCCGCTGACCCTCACCCTGATGCTTACCATATTCCAGAATCAAATCTCTGCTCTATCCGGCGGACAGGTGGTAATTGGGAGTATTGAGTATCGGAATCTGTCGCCGTTATTTGTTGAGCAGGAGATGAGGATATGTGCGAAGCGTAAAGGTAGCGGGAACGGGGATGGTCATGCAGCTGCTCCGGCTGGGGCATGGGATATATGGGTGGAGGGCCTTGATGGGGGATTGGCCGTCAAGGGGACTGTGACTGTACACGTGCAGACGACGAGGAGTTGAGGTTATTTATATATACCGTGTAGATACATTACATTTTTCCATTCCTCTGTTTTTATGGATAGACATAGACATTACTGTATGTATGTATGTATATAAAGCATGGAGAGCACCATTTCCTTATCTGGCGGCTTAGGGCTAGTTACATAGATAGGGCTCTGGAAGTCACGGGACACAAGCAACTGCAATTCGCCGGATGCAACCGGCCTTCCTTACTAATCACCATCGCGGCTCCGTTTTGCGCTGTAACTAATAATTTCTCTATAATAAAAGGGACACTCTTCACTCCCACCCGGCTCAACCTCAGACTTCTTCTACTTGCTCCATTCCCCTTTTCCCCCTTTCCCCTTTACTTCCTCCTCACAACAATGCGAATGGAAGAAGTATCTGCTTGCTTTCTCTGTTTTGCGCTGTACTTCTAACAGCAGTCTAGCGCTCTCTCAGAATGGATGTTTTTTGGGCAGCACCGCCTGTGACCAGGTAGGCTCGCAGCTGTGCAAATTCCGGGGAATATCAACGGAATACTAACTAACCATCACTTGCTCACATGGTCATGGATACACAGGGCTATCACAACTGCTGCGTTCATAGAGTCTCTACTGGTCTATGGCGGGTTTATCACACCATTTTCAATCGTCTTCCACACCCCATTTATCTTCAAGACCCTCCCAGAGGTCTGGCGATTAGTGACGCCTTTCCTCCTGACCGGCCCAGGGCTGGAATTTGTCTTTGACCTCTACCTTTGTAGGCTTCTTTGCTTTATGAAATGCTGCCAATTCCGCCGCCACTGCCCCTCTTCTGGCAAAAACAAAAGTGGCTTCTTTCCACTCGCTGACTTGATAATAACCCTGCGCCAACAGTGTATAGATATGGCAGCGGTTTGGAAAGAGACTTGCCACGCTTCTCTCTCCCTGGTGACTTCTTCACATATGTTGTCTTTGTAAGCACCGTGATTATGGTATGTGGTGTTTTCTACGTCTCTTTCTATTATTTGCTCCAGTTCACCTCCGCATATCTGCCCGCCCAGCCCAATCTAGCTGAAGCGGTTCCTGGTCGAGAGGAAGATTACCCCTACGTCTCCTGTTGCTCCAATCATTCGCAATCAATCCTTTTTATGGGACAGCAGGCGCTGTAGGCATGGTGGGATTATCTGATACGTTACCGATTTGAATTCTTCTCGACTTCTCGTTCGGTGGTTGTGGATCCCTACATTCCTTAAAAGAAAATTATATTCTCTTATCATTTTGGATGTTGCATCCGTCTATAAAGTATTTCACATCTTCGTGTATTCTTCTTTTGTGCTATCCTCCATGTCTCTGCAATAGTTTATATCCCTATATCTGTGACATTGATACTTTCAGAATCAATCTCTACAAAATGGAGGCGAGGCTGACCAGCCCACAGCTTACTGCAGGCCTCCTCCTAAAGTCCTTCATCTTCACTTCAGGTACGAAACGAAATAACAAAAATCCCGTTTGACCCGGATCGATCTTCCATACAACAGGGTAAAACAATCCATAACTAATACCATCACTGCTCACTTCCCAGCTCTACTGATCGCCTTCATGTACACCTACGGCCAAGTCAACATTGGCAAAAAAGCACACTTCTTCGTCATCCAGATCCCCGTCGAGTTTCTCCCCTGGGCCAACCTGGTCATCATCATGGTGATGAAAGGGTGGGGGGCGGCGCAGTCGGCAGCATGCGGCGTTGTAGCTGCTCACCTGTACGAGTTCCTTACCCGCATATATCCGACATACGGACGCGGAAGGACATTTATATGGACCCCCGTGTTTGTGAAGAGGTGGTTTGGCGCACATCGCTCAAACCAGACGAATCGCGCCTACGGGACATACCGCCATGGCGATAGACCTGTGCAGGAGGCGGGGGGTGCATCGACGTCGTCGTCTGGGAGCGGGTGGTTTTCTGGCGATTCGTGGAATGGGAGAGGTGTTGGGCGGAGGCTTGGCTGATTGCAATTATTTGAAAGATACCAACCAGATGGCCGTTTAGTATGAAATTATGCCTTTTGTTCAGTAGTTACTCTTAAATTTTTGGTTTTATTTGGCGCGACACATACATGAGATGATTGAATTTGAGATCTCTACGCTATGACTTCAGATTTTCACTGGCATTCTCTATGAAACTCTTCTGGATATCCTCTTTTATATTTCCCCTTCCAAGTTTCTATTACCCCCGTATCTCGTGTTGCTCTGGCGGCAACGCAGTGAGGTCACATGACACTCCACGCTAAGCCCTTTTATCGCTAGAGCTTCCCTTCCCCGAAAAAAACCCAACGGCGACTTTTGACGCACTGCAAAATATTCGCCCAGCTCCGCCTCAGTTGGGAAACAGATCAGGACAACACTTTCGCCAACCGCAACGAACCGAGTAGTTCTGCAGGAGTTATTTTGTAAGCATCAGGTAATCCCGCCCGCATTGGAATCCTTCCATCCACAATGGCCGCAGACACTGGAAGGATGGATGTCGACTTCTCCATCAAGCCCCAGGCGGTCACGCCCGCCATCCCGACATCTGAGTGGCCGCTGCTCTTGAAGAATTATGACAAACGTATGTACATGTACATATCTAATGTCCATATATCAGTCTGGGGATATATGCGACGACTTTTGGTTGTGGCTCTGCTATTATGAAATTCAACACAAAAAAACTAACCCAACTGGAACAAATTTCCAGTGCTTGTCAGAACCGGCCACTTCACTCCCATCCCAGCGGGATGCACGCCTCTGAAGCGCGACCTAAAATCATACATTAGCTCCGGAGTTATTAACTTGGACAAGCCTGCGAATCCATCGAGTCATGAGGTTGTAGCGTGGATGAAGAGGATATTGAGGTTGGTATTATTATTCCAATTACCCCAAACCGTTTTAAGGAGAAAGAGGAAAACAGACGAAAAACAAGGACGGAAAAGATTACACAAACCCTATTGAGTGAGAGCAGAAAGTTAACAATCCATTTCGCCATTTGTTCAGAGTGGAGAAAACCGGCCACAGCGGTACCCTCGACCCAAAAGTCACCGGTTGTCTTATCGTCTGTATCGACCGTGCGACGCGCCTCGTCAAGTCCCAACAAGGTGCCGGAAAGGAGTACGTGTGCGTGATCCGACTGCACGACAAGCTCCCCGGAGGCGAAGCGCAATTTGCCCGCGCCCTCGAAACGCTGACCGGTGCCCTATTCCAACGTCCACCCCTGATCTCCGCCGTCAAGAGACAGCTGCGTATCCGCACGATCCACGAGAGCAAGCTGTTCGAGTTCGACAATGATAGGCACATAGGTGTGTTCTGGGTGAGTTGTGAGGCTGGGACGTATATTCGAACCTTGTGCGTGCATCTGGGACTGCTGCTGGGTGTTGGTGCGCACATGCAGGAGTTGCGACGGGTGAGGAGTGGGGCTATGGATGAGATGGATGGGATGGTCACGCTGCATGATGTGCTTGACGCACAGTGGATGATGGATAATAACCGTGACGAGTCGTATCTGCGACGTGTTATTCGGCCACTTGAAAGCTTGCTTACGTCGTATAAGAGGATTGTTGTGAAAGATAGTGCTGTTAATGCTGTTTGCTATGGAGCTAAACTTATGATCCCTGGGTTGTTGCGATTTGGTGAGTGATGATATATTTCCTGTGATTGGGATCATGCTGCGAGTTGGAGTTAACGTTCCCCCTCTTTTACCCTGCAGAGGCTGGAATCGAAATCCACGAAGAAGTTGTCCTTATGACTACCAAGGGTGAGGCGATCGCGATCGCGATCGCTCAAATGTCAACTGTCGAGCTATCGACCTGCGACCATGGCGTTGTGGCCAAGGTGAAGCGTTGTATCATGGAGCGCGATCTCTATCCGCGCAAATGGGGTCTGGGTCCCGTCGCCTTGGAGAAGAAGAAGCTCAAATCCGATGGCAAACTTGATGTTCGTTTCCCTTCGTGTACCGCGCCTTGGACACAAATGAAAAGACAAGGATGATAACGATGCTAACCTAACAACTAGAAATATGGCCGGCCAAACGAGAAAACGCCCGCGAAATGGAACGCTGAATACAAAGATTTCAACGCACCACTAGATAGTGATGCTGCAGCTACTGGAGCTACTCCAGCCACCCCCTCTGCCTCCAAAGAATCAGCCCCCGCTGCCAAAGTGAATGGAGGCTCACCTGCAGCGCCCCCCTCCGCGACCCCGGCTGCTGAAGAGGACGATACTGAGAAGAAACGCAAGAGACACAACGGAGAGACCGCTGAAGAGCGTGCGGAGCGAAAGCGCAGAAAGAAGGAGAAGAAAGAAAAGAAGGAGAGGAGGAGATCGAAGAAAGCGGAAAAGAGTGACGACGATAGCGAGTGAAGAGGTGTGAAACCAAATAGCTAAGCTAGGGTTCAACGTGATTGGTTATGGGCGCTGTTGTCGTTTTCTTGTATGATATCTTCCTTGGTTTTTGATGTTACTTTTCATCAGGAGTTCTGGGCAAAATTGGGGGTTTCTATTGCTTCTCCTTTTTTTAATGGGCTAAATGCAATATTGATTTCTCCTGTCTCTTTGCATGTGTCTTGTCTGTTGAAAGTCTCCTGATTTATACTGTGGCTGATTATATTGTGTCGGGATTAATATGCTGTTAAGGAGTGCGTCATGAGAGAATGATTGAATCCAATTTACATAGGTCGCTGAAACAATGTTATTAATCCCAAAGCTACTTGAAAGATCCACAAAGTAAAATATATAGAAATACATACCTACTACTGTCAATCTTCGGTATACATCCACTGGACGAACCTGGATGACCTAATATGGTGGTCACATGGCCTTGACAACCCACCTCCCGACTCTCCGCTACCGCAAGAAAATGAACAAGAACAGAATATAGCCGATTTACTGATAATTATCCAGGGCTTTAGGGATTTGGTGGAAAATACATCTGGTACTCTCTATTGAATTTCCTCATAAATTATCTCAATTTGGGGAACTGATTTGCCCCTCATGGCTGCGGAGCTCACATCCATCAAGCTCAACCCGGAGAGCCATCTACTCCTGGTATGTAGATATATATATATGTGCGGGCCGAGTGCCTGGCTACGACCCTATAACCCCATATAATTTCATATAGCTAACAGCAAGACATCCAGGATCAATCTCTCCTCCGCCTTCCCCACGAGCTCGCCCGCCGCAACTTCAAATCCGTACAACGCATCGTCGAGCGGGAACGAGACCACATCATTCCATACCTTAAAGAGACCGCCAACGCCTCCCTCTCAGGAGCCCAAGATGCCAACCAAACCCTTGCTGCCCTCGACACCATGATAAGTCGTATGCAGGGGTTAAAGCGCAAAATGGAAACGCTGCAGGACGAAGAAAAGAAGATCTTGACTCAGTCGCGCAAGCGTATTCAGCATCTGGAGGACCTGTATAAGATCCCTAGTCTGGCAGATGTGAAGTATGAGGAGTGGTCGATGATAAGGTTGAATCGGTTGCTGGTGGATCATATGCTGCGCTCTGGATATGCGGAGAGCGCGAGACAGCTGGCTGAGGAGAAGGGGATTGAGGACCTGGTGGATTTAGGGGTGTTTGTGCAGTGTCAGCGGATTGCGGAGAGTTTGGGGAGAGGGGAGCCGAAGGAGGCGTTGACGTGGTGTGGGGAGAACAAGGTGGGTTTGAAGAAGGTTCAGGTATGTTCTTCTGCCCATACATACACACTCTGACTGAGCTGGTAATGTCTTGGGAACTGATGGCTTTTGGTGGCGATAGAGTAATCTTGAATTTGAGCTCCGATTACAACAGTACATTGAGATGGTGAGGGCAGGCGATAAAATTGAAGCGAGACAGCATGCTAGGAGGTTCCTGTCCCCTCATAGTGAGACCCAGGCGACAGAGATTCGGCGTGCAGCCGGTCTCTTGGTCTTCTCCCCTGATACAGAGGCTGCACCATACAAGGTTAGTTTTATTTCCTTTCATTGCAATATGATTAAGTTGCGATTACGTTCCCCGGTGGGTTTCTAAAGAAGAAAAAAATATGATAATGGCTAACCCATGCTTCAGGACCTCTATTCCTCTTCCCGCTGGAAACACCTTTCCAATCTTTTTATCCGAACCCACCACGACCTCCTCGCCCTCTCCTCCCGTCCCCTCCTCCAGATAGCGTTATCAGCTGGCCTGTCCGCACTAAAGACGCCATCCTGCCACTCCGCTTACGCATCCTCCAGCTCCAATCCAAACTCCATTACCACCTCCGTGTGTCCTATATGCTCGACGGAACTCAACGAGCTGGCACGCCACATGCCATATGCGCATCATACTAAAAGTTGTGTTGAAAATGATCCGATAGTGTTACCCAATGGGCGCATATATGGACGCCAAAGGTTACAGGAGATGTGTAAGAAATCGGGCTTTGTACCTCCTGGTAAAGTGAAAGATCCCACGACCGGGCAGGAGTTTGACGAGCGTGAGATGAAGAAGGTTTATATTTCTTAACATTTCCTCTTTCGTACCTTTCGCTAATTCTGTTCTTTCTATTTTGTATTTATTTACCTTTTATGTTACGGCGTTTGGGGATGGATGGATAGGGTGGACTTTTTCCGGGGCTTTCCTGGATGATTTTTATCCGTACCGATGCATATTTTAAGAGGCCCTCTCTCTCTTTGTATATATACATCTCGCATATATTGAACATAAATCCCTACTCCTATCGGTGATGATAATGACATTGTACCGTAAATAGACAACTTTTTAATCGCTATCATCGTCACTACTTTCTCTTCCTCTCCCTTTCCCCACTCTCTTCCCAGAAGCAGCAGCAGCAGCAGCAGCTTTCAGCTCAGCTCCCTTCTTCTCGAAGACAAACATCCTAGCTTCCCTATCCTCGCCCCTCCACCCACCTCTCCCTTCACCCCCATTCCGCTTCTCAATTTCTCCTACCGTGCGCGCATGTGAGTAACCCGGGTAACTGGTCCATGGAAACCGGAAACTGGTGACAACACGCAAGCCCGCGTGGCGTGCGAGATCACGGATGTTCCAAAGGGTATAGGGCTCGCCTTCGAAGAGGGTGATGAGGATTCGGCCTGGGGTTGTACGGGGTAGGGGTTTCTCTTCCCTGCCCCCATCGTCATCGCTAGAGCCGGAGTTAGGCCAGTCCTCCTCGTCCGTGTATTCATGTTCATTTTCATCCGCGTTCGTCTGTGAGGGGGTTGGCACAACAGGTTCAGAAAGAAGTGGCACGCATGCTTTGAAGAAAGAGACAAGTAGTTCCTGGTTCGCGCGTACCTGGCGATTTACATCTGTGCTTATGCCACCGACGTGGGGGAAGTTGAAGCAGATTATGTCCCAAGGACCACCGCTGCTGCTGTGGCTACCGGTCTGCTTTTTCTGCTTTTGATGTGCGAGGCTGTGGTGAGTAGCAGCATCTTTCGATTTATGATCTCCTTTAGTTTTTCTGGACGAGGGGGGAGCAGCAATGCGAGGGAATCCATTGCGAATCGTTTTGCCACCACCAGCAAGACCAGAGCCTAGCTTGCGGGCGTCGATTGAGAAAAGTACTTTTGGCCCCTGATTTTCGTGTCGAGGATGATCTTTGTGCAGGTTTCTTCTGCCTTTCTGATCCTGATCCCCGTCCTTCTCCCCCACCTCTGGCTCGTAGTCATTTCCACTTTCAACCCCAAAGCTCTCATTCTCGTCCCTCTTCCGTTTCAAACCCTGCGGAGACGACGGTGTCTCCGAAACGCTCGCACGTAGCTTTTTGATGTGCAGTTTTGCTTGCGGGTATTTCTCATACAGCGTCTGTTCAGAGTCGTAACTGGTGGCTAGCAAGTTTTTGCAGCCATGATGTGTAGCGAGGCAAAGGGCAAATGAGAAATCTCCTGCAGAGTGGTTAGATAATGTTTTCTTTCATGATTGTTTTAGGGAATATATCTGCGAAAAAGAAGGGATGGGTCTGTGTAGATCTAATTTCTAGATGGGAGTAGTTGAGATATTAAAAAAAAAAAGGGCACATCTTCTTCCAGTGAGTCTGCTTCGGGTCTGCGAATGGAGGTGAGAGATGCATGATCTCTCTCTCTGGTGATAGCTGCATGCATCCTGATAAACCTCATTCCATATCCTCTCTAAGAATCTGCTCATCGGCCACCTGGTTGCAGGCAATCGGGATACCAAAAGCAAAGCATACATTCCTCCTAACAAAGGCAAGCAAATATTCTGGTTTGCTACCCCTAAGTTGATCTCCAGGATTCCATTCTTTTTGTCATTTCCCAAACAAAGCAAAGAACGAAACTCGAAACTCGATCAGCGAGCCAAATTTCAACAATTGAAAGAGGCACAAAAAAGTTATATGAAACAATCCAACTAGCACAGCATATCAACGAATGCGAAAAAAAAAAAAAAAAAAAACCATTAAACATTAAAATAATAAAAATAAATAAAAATAAACCAACCTTCCCCAACCAGCAAAATCCTATCCCCCTTCTGGAACAGCATCATCGCATCCCGATTCTGTGCTATAAGCTTCACTTTGGCGGACACATTTCCATTCTCACCACTCTTCCCCTTTCCTCTAGACATAGTAGCAGACGTCGAAACTCTCGAGAAACTCTTCATTTTCCTAGGCCCACGGCCTGCAGTGGCGGTGGTTGGTGAGCTTTTACTTCTAGGCCTATCATGGTGAAGATAGTTGGCGATGCGCGCCTTTTTTTTAGACTTGCCCATTGCTATTATTGTTATTGGAATTATTATGAATGGGGAGAAATGGAACAACTGAATGTGCAAGGCTAGGTATATATCATACAAAGATGGCTGATAAGGGGGGTTGCAATTTTTGAGTGCGGAGTGTGAATTTTGGGAGACTTGAACAACTGCACCAAAACTCTGGCGTGCCCGAGAGGGAGTTTGGGCTCAGTTTTCAACGGCAGCTATACGAAAATCAACTAAACCAAGAAAGTTTTATTCAGTCCTAAGTATTCCCCAATATCTATCTAGTGATCGTTGTCTATTTAATCTTACTCATGCAATACAAAATCGAAAATTGGATTTGATAATATCATTCAGTTATGCATAGAAGCTAGTGAAACATCCATCTCCATGCGCCTCAGACAGGTTGACAGAAGAAACAAAATAAGATGGAAAACCAGACCCAACAGAATATTCTACAAGGGTTATACCATTTGCGGACATCAAAATCAAAGAAGAAAAGAAATTGACGTGCACCTCTCTATCACATCCAGCCCTCAATGATGGTTTATGTGCAGTACATGCGTCAAGAAAATAAGACGGAGAACCTCAAACCAGAAGGTAAGAAAGGCACAAGAATCAAGCATTTCAGAAATCCCATCCCACACGCCTTACAAGAATAGATTTGGACAAGGAAGATTTGGGAGCTTTTGGGGAGAATAGGGGAAACAATGAGAAATAAAAGCGGACAGGGAAAGAGGGAGGAGAGAGGTGGGAGAATTCGAACGGCAACGGGAAAACGTCCACTGGTACGCTATTCCATTAAAAATGTATAGGTGGGATTCCCAAAATAACAAAAGTGATGTAGAGGTTTTTGTGGTCAAAAAATGAAAACTTATAAAATCAAAAAGAAAGCAAAATCAGACAAAGAATATATATGATATTGAAGCTCGATGTTGCAAACTTTGACACGAAAAAATGAGAAAAGAATCGAAAGTGGACAAACATCCAAAAGAGAAGTTTTCAGATGGTTTGACGGAAATACAAAGATTTGACCGGACTGCAACAGAGTGCGCCAGAGAATGGAGGGTGAAACACGTCGGTATTGTCCTCTGATTGTGTAAAATCGGTGCCTGCCTGGGAAAGAGGAACAGATAATAAAAAAAAACGCTGCAATGAAGACCGTACGGATATGCACATGTTAAGTATTGATGGAATTTCCCATGAATATCCGCCATTTTTCCAGGAAACGCTTAGCTGGTAAATACGCTCGTAACAGGAGATCGCCGCGGCGGTATGGGGGATATCAAAGGATTCAGCCAGCATCTATTCGGCCTCTAGGACTTAAGCACATCTCTCATGCTTTGGCTGCTTGCACTTATCGTAGGATTGGAGGAGGGGAGAACACCAGTTCGGTTATTCATGTTCTGTTTAACCTTCGCCATGGCATAGACGATACCACTGACAAAGCCAACAATGATAGCGGAGACGCTGGGGAATGTGACAGGGGCGTCGAAGAAGACGAGACCGGACAGGGCAATGGGGAGTTTATTCAGAGCCCCGACCATGGAATAAGTGGTAGAAGAAGTCACTCGTACACACCACGCGGAGGTATACGAGATGAAGACAGTGGACAAGCCGGAAAAAATCATAGCCAAGATGACGGAGTTGCGGGTTGCGGGGGGGAAGTTCAGGTGGACGTTTGCAGAGGACCAGTCTTCCAACAAGAGGGAGGCGATCAGAATAATGGGGATGGAGAGAAGGTTGTTGTAGAACATAGTGTCAAAGTCCTTGAAGTTGGTCAACTTAATTCTCTTTCGCATGCCTAGGACGTAGCTGGCGGTGCAGAGGCAGTTGATCAGCATCCAGATATATCCGGCATTGAGGGTAGAGATCTTGGCTGTTGCATCGACGCCCGACACGGTTGAGAGCGCATGGCTGATATCCGCCCACGCCGCAATGATGGAGCTGAGAACCATCAGGCCGAAGGAGAAGAGCACCATGCCGGTAACTGAGCCTCCGAACCACAGAACCTCGCCGTACGCAATGAGGATGATCGTCAAGTTCTTGAAGATAGTGTAAACAGGGATGGAGAGATATTGGAGAGCCTTGGTACCAGTATATATCATACCAATGAGGAGAAAAGAAATGGGGAACCCTATACGACATCAGAGGTGGTTCGTGATGGTTCCTACAAAAAAAAAAAAGGATAAAAAGATAAAATAAAAAATTAGAATGAGAAATGCAAAACTCACATTTTTTGGCCTCATCTGCATTGAAATCTCGATAGGTGATAATCTTCAAGGATTTGCACGTTTGGATTGCAGCAACGCATACTATAGACTGGATGATATAACAACGGGGCGCGGAGTGTCAGTCGGGATAAATACCGCAATGGAAAGAGACCAAAAACAAGAAGCCGGCAAGGGGGATGTTTGACATACCTGGACACAGAGAAGAAAAAAGTTCAAGTTGAAAGATATGCCCGACAGAACATATTTATTTGTGACCGTCATTAGAATTGAAGACAAGCAGTAGCAGAGAATGGGGAGCGTGGAGCTGTGTGCGAGGGAGGATCGTGACGGTAAGAGTCGAGGTTGTGGTGGCGGCGGCGGCGGCGGCGGAGCGGCATCGAATCGTCTGCTGTTCGGATCCAATTTATCCATATCGATGGTATAGATATCGCTCTTCTTATCGTCCGCCATGTTGAATGAATTGTATCGAGTAATGGGGAGGAGTGGATGAGTTACGATGAGATGCGAGTTTTGGCTTTGGTTCAACGATCTTGGACGGGGTAGAAAAGGGGGGCCCGATCC